TCGTCGCGGTTGCGCAGCTCGAAGAAGACCTCGAGGTCGGCGCCTTCGCGTTCGTCGCCGCGTGGCTCGACCAGGACCCAGCGTCGACGACGCGGCTCCCCGCGGCGGCGACGGCGGTCTTCGCGGTGGGCGAGGCGACCCGGGGCGATTTCTTGCCGCCCGCCGTGCCGCCCGCGCTCCTCGCGCGGCTCGTCGAGGCCTGGGACGTCGTCCGCGACGACGAGCGCGCCGAAAAGCTGGCGTGCGAACGCGCTCGCGGCGCACGTCCTGGCGCCGCTGAGCCTGCTGCTCTTCCCGGGCGTGGGCCAGGGGGCCCTCGACTCCATGCACGCCTTCACGCTCCACCGACGGCCCGAGGGCGACCGTTCCAACGCGACGGCGTCCGTCCACAACGACGTCTGCGAGACGTCGCTGAACTTCGATTTGAGGGTAGAAGACCTCGGCGGCAGCCGCGTCGTCTTCTACGGCGACGACGGCTCCGAGCGCTGGCTCGGCCACGCGGCGGGCGCGGGCTTCGTCAACGTGTGCCGGGACCAGCACGGCGTCGAGCCCGCCGTCCGCGGCTCGCGCGACACGGCCGTGCTCCGCGGCTTCGCGGCCGCGTTCCGGCGGTCGCCCGGTGAGACGTACCGGGAGCGGTGCCTCCCGCCGTCGATCTGGTAATCTTACTTCTTCTTACCTTTTTTGCCCTTTTTGCCTTTGACCGCGGGGAGGTGGAGGTTCGAGAAGGAGCCGCTCCCGCGGAACCGGCCCGGCGGCTTCAGCGTGCCCGTGGCCGCGTCGAGGGCGAAGGGCGTCCCGAGGTATTTCCGCACGGATTTGACGGCGTGCTTGGCGAGGTCGACGATCTGCGCGTTCGGCGGCGAGAAGTCGAGCGAGCCTAGGATGCGGGAGCGTCACAAACGTGTCTCCTATAAATGAGGTCGTCGCGGCCCCAAAAAGGCTCGGACGTGACCTATCGATTCGAATCATCGACGCCGCATGTCGCCCAGCGGGGATCCTCAGA